GCCTGAGGGACAGATTCACTGTGAAGCATTTAACACTAATCATGATCAGAAGCTTACTATAGACCTTGAGAATGAACAAGTCTAACAGTTGCCAAGTGAAATTGATTATGTGCAATTTTGTTGCTGGGCGACACGAAGAGGTCCATCACTGGAAGTCCCCTGAACAGAAAAAGTTGCATCTGCTGAGGCTGTCCCTGCCATGCAGCTGGTGAAGTTTGAAAACGCATACATAAAACTATCTTGAATTAAGAATTGGCAACCCTCCTCTTGAGGTGGTTCTTGACCTTAGTTTTATTTGCTGTTTTGCTCTTGCAGGTTTTTCTTATCTTCTGAAGATGGTAACTTTTGCCCATATCTACATTAGTCACTATCTTGAGGGTCTTTCCCCCAAATTGTAACCTCTTCATGGATGCAAATGAAGCAAAATAATTTCATCTGTGATCTGTCTGCTGATCTTCTGAAACCTTTCCTCATTACTTGTTTGCAGTAGTTTTATTGTGGTTATTAAATAAAAGAAAGCTTCCTATATCTCATGTTTTGTTACACTTCAGCAAATAACTGGTTGAAATGAGTCGTTCTGCTTTTCTGTTCCAGGTTCAGGGTGTTCTGTGCTGAAGGGGAGTTGATATGTGTGTAAGGATAACATGCATGGGTTATAAAAAGAAGGTGACACATACTTGTCATTATAATAGCTACTTAATTGTTTGGCACTGACTATTACTGTTGACATGAGAAAACAAGCAAAGCATAACCACCAACCATCATCATTGCCTAGTTCTCCAAGATCAAAGCAAGGAGATATGTTGGCTGTATTATAATAGGTCCAGATGACTGGAGCAGGTACAGTGGTGCCCCGCAAGACGAATGCCTCGCAAGACGGAAAACCCGCTAGACGAAAGGGTTTTCCGTTTTGGAGGTGCTTCGCAAAACGAATTTCCTATGGGCTTGCTTCGCAAGACGAAAATGTCTTGCGAGTTCCTGCAGGGTTTTTTTCCTCCCCCCCCCTTTCCCCAAGCCGCTAAGCCGCTTATCAGCTGATCCGCTAAGCCGCTTAACAGCTGATCCGCTAAGCCGCTTATCAGCTGATCGCTAAGCCCGCTAAGCCGCTAATAGCGCTAATCCGCTAAGCCGCTAATGGGCTTGCTTCGCAAGACGAAAAAACCGCAAGACGAAGAGACTCGCGGAACAGATTCTTTTCGTCTTGCGAGGCACCACTGTATTCTAAGGCATGTGTTCAACAGTCAGGTCATGTATCCATAGCAGTGACCAGGGGAGGAATGACCTCTGGGAGAAGGAATGCCATGGTGCATCTGCAGCAGCACAACCGGACACCTTCACCTGCCCCAGCTGCCACAAAACATGTCTTTCCTGTATCAGTCTCTACAGCCACAGCAGGTGCTGCAACTTCCAACAGTTTGGCTTCACCTCCAAAGAGTGCCAACAACAAATGCTACAATGGAAAGCAAGAAAGCCTAAGTTCGATTTGCATAATAAGGGTTGCTATATTTTGAAGAGCAAAAAGGAGGACACTATGATGACTCTCATTTTAAATACCCCTACTATATGTAGGCTATAGAAGCTGTGATATATTGCTGAGGGGAACAGGAACGGAGAAGAGGAAAGCAAGTCTTCAACCACCAGTTATGTCTAAGTCTCATCCAGAAAGTATAACCAGAGACATTCTGGCAGATTTAAAAAATCCACCCAGACAGACATTTTATCCGTGAAAAAGAGGTCGTATCCTGGAAAAAGAGGACACATGGCAGCCCTAGAATAGTGTTGCCAGATCAAGAGCAAATTTCCACAGTAAATTAAGATGAACAAGGTAAACTTGGCAGGAACTTAGGTTCTAGCTCAACGTAGTAGTTAATGGAAGAACATTTCCCTTTCAGTGTGAATTTATTGGCTCAGTTCACACGTCACCATAAACTGTAGTTAATGGATTACCATGAAAATGTTGGCGTGTTTTGTTCCTTTCTGCTCATGCTGTGGAGAAATAAGCCATGATTTTTTGTCTGAACATTATGCCTGAAATAAGGATCATGACTATGGTGTCTGACCACAATCTGACCTGGTTTGGACATAATGCTTCAACAGGGATCATGACTTGTATTTTCCAAGTGCGACTTGGGAGAAGTGGGGCAGAGTGAAGTAGAAGTCATTTGCTGGAGCTCAGCATGCTATGATTTATGGCTTACCATGACATGCAAACAAGGTCACTGAAATATACCATTCCTCATCACTTACCTTCAGCAAAAGTATTTTATTGTATTCACTTACTTGCAGGCAACTCTGAGAGCAATTTGGGCAGGTATGGAGATCAAAAACAAGCAAACAGGATGTGAGGAACTGAGCCTTCAAATCCACCTTTTTTGCTTTCTAAAAGATTATTTATAGATTTAATACAATGTATATTAAAAACATAATACATATAATGACATACTACATTTTGATGCTGACATATTAATGCCTAGTTCATGGTTGGTTGGTTGGTTGGTTGGTTGGTTGGTTGGTTGGTTGGTTTCATAGAATTTATACATCGCTTGAGAAAACCCTCAAACCTATTTACAAAAAACAAAGAAATCAAGGAAAAGTTATACAGTGGTACCTCAGGTTAAGTACTTAATTTGTTCCGGAGGTCCGTATTTAACCTGAAACTGTTCTTAACCTGAAGCACCACTTTAGCTAATGGGGCCTCCTGCTGCCACCGCGCTGCCGGAGCACGATTTCTGTTCTCATCCTGAAGCAAAGTTCTTAACCCAAGGTACTATTTCTGGGTTAGCGGAGTCTGTAACCTGAAGTGTATGTAACCCGAGGTACCACTGTAATACTTTTAAAAAACAATATGCACATAATCCTTCATCTGATTTTGTTTTATGACCCTTTTCTCTAGATACACAAGCATATTTTTGCTGAATCTATTTAGTGAACAAACAATGTTCATTCCTAAGCAGTAGGGAGCTTATTTTTATTCATAGAAGGAATGGGATGAAAAAACAGAAACAAAATTAGCTTTGCCACTAGAGACAAAGTGTTTTGTGTTTTTGGAAAGAGATTACAGAGCATTGTTGGAGCCAAGGTATACATAGCTGAGTTTTTCAACCCATAGTTTTATAAACATTGGGGTGCTGGAATCTGTATAAAAATTATGGAAACGGTGTGCTCTGACACTAGGAGCATCCATTGTGTTCCACAGAGCGGTCTGGATTAAAAGAGGGACCAGACTGTAATTAATATGATGCATTGATGGATAACTGCTTGGTCATTCTAGCCCTTAGCCTCTAACTTCCATGACCAGAGCCTTGTATGCCCTACCAACGCTGGGCATTGCAGTTTACCCCATCACAAATTTATAGTTCCCAGCCACCCTTAGCTCAACAAACCTCAGAATTCTTGGGGGGGGGGATACACTTGGGATGTGCTCTTAAATGTGCAGTGTGTATGCAACATTACTTTCAGTTCATGCAATGTGGTTCCACACCCCTCACTGGCATATCACCTAAAAAGCTACCTCATCACTTTTCTTACTCTAATGCAACTGAGCATGTTCAGTAGCAGCAACTGAAGCCCCACAGTTAGAATAAGATATCTGCTGTTGCCGCCACATCCTGCTCCTTCAGCTGGGAGTCTGGTGGAGGGTTGAGGCCTCCTGCTCACTCAGTGCACATCCCAGCAGGACACAGCATAATTTTTCCTTGCTATACCAAACCTCTTAGTGATCTTTTGGACCCCAAATCCACAGGAGTGGCAAAAGCCTAAGCAGGTGAAAGCATGGGGGGGGGACAAGATTCAGTGACATCCACAGAAACCTTAAAGTAGGCTGATAACTCTTTTTCAAGACCATTCTGCAGCAGCTGTTTTAGAGCATTTATGGCACAGCCCATGTGGAATTCAGGCACAGTTCCTCTATACTGCCTCCATTTCTCTCTGCAATCAATATGTCTGGAATTGTTTTGTGGATTAGCAAGAAACACCTGATTGCTAATTAGTGACCTAATTTGGAGCATGGGAAAGAAAATAAAGATTCATTCAAAGATAGGGACAAGGTGAAATTCAGTTTGGTTTGCATTGATAAATGAAGCAATACACAGAACAATACACAAACCAAAACGCAACCATTATTCAAAATGTATGCTTCTCCAAATTTTGCAGCAGTTTTTCAGCCAATCAATGGATATATACACAAAATGCATATACTTGGGTAAAGAGAACATAAAAATGCATATATTCTTGAAAACAGCACACAAAAATACATTATATTAGGGGAAATGGCTTTGCAGAAATATATGCATTAGGCAGAATTTCATGCAAAGATGTGCATATTAGGAGAAACTTGCAGTAAAATGCTGCTGAATGTTCACAAGGACTGAAATATTCACAAACTGATACGGAAATGTGGAGAACAAGAGTGGAAAAAGGAAAAACTGCAATTGACAGATTTGCCCATCCCTATTCAGTGTAGGAGGTATTAACCAGGTGCAATGAGGGAAACTTGCCAAAATTAAATTATTCGGGGCAATCATTTTTGTCAGCGATAGAAAGGCGAAGATAAAATTATGTAGGACGCAACCCGATGTTACATTTTGCCCACACTGCCCACCTGCCATGGTTGCTAATCCTTTGCTACATTTATGTTAACTTTTCAAAGCACAGTCACTTAAATAGCAGCAACAACGCGGTCGCCAGCTCTCTTGCACCTGGATGAGTGTCTTGTGTTGCCTTAGATCTGCAAGCAGAGTACAGAAGTGGGTGTGTGCAGACATAGTCTTCAGGCTGTATATCCAGTCTAGCAGAGGGCGTGCCTGCTCACTCACACACAGGAGAGCGGAGTGTGGGGAAAGAGAAGCTGTCAGCAGACGGACGTATGGCAAGGAGGGCTCCCTGACATTCTACACCCGAACAAGACCTTTTTTTTTTTGGTACTGCTGTTTCTGTTTTGTTTTTTGAGTCGCAAAAGAGAGACAGGTGACATCCCACCCACTGCCACCCCATCTGCAACCATGCTTCACTCTCCTTCTCCACTGAAAACAGCACTGGCTTATGAGTGCTTCCAGGACCAGGCCAATTCTACTCTAGCGTTGCCCTCGGATCACAAGCTGAAAACTAGGGGGACAGGAAAACAAAGGGTCCAGGAGCAGGTGATGATGACGGTGAAACGGCAAAAGCAAAAGACCTCCCTTTCATCAGCATCGAATGCAGCAGGCCACTCCAACCGAGGTAAATACCTATCACTGCTTGATTGACAAGGGATGACCGCTGAGTGTGAGAAATTTGGCTATACAACGCTTGCCCATCTGATGCCTCTTTGAGCTTAAGAATGTGTGGTATTGGGCATTGTCCATTGGAGTCAATACAGCTGGTGTCATTTGGTTTTCTTGGCAGGTTGTGTTGTGGTGATACCAAGGAAGTTTTGCAACATCTTGAGGGATAACTAGGGATTTGGGGATCCCAGTCTCAGTAGTTTTGCAGCTTAGTGCCGAAATGGTTTCAAGATAGGCCATGGGAATCTAGTTAAGCTGAAGGACTTTGATTTGGATTGTGTAGGTTGATTTGGAATTGCAAGGTGGTGCTAAGAGCAAATGCTTCTGCTTTGAGATGAAGTAGGTTGGAGCTGAACATCTTCTAGCCAGTTTCATCCTCAAGATTCCCGTAATTCTATCGTGAATGACTGGTACAATTTTGCGAAAGTTAACCACAGATAAATTCCACAGACTTCAGCAAGAGAGGAAACTATTCCACTTTAGAGTCATGGAATCATAGAAGTCAAGCAATTCCCACTAAAGCCAATGAGATTTGTAATGCACAATTTAACTTAGATCCAAGGGTTTGATATTATCTGGAGTCTTGACAGCATTTCAAGTCTATTTATCTACAAATTGGAAATGGTATGCACCCCAGCAGGAAAGTTGTCCAGTTGAAATTAAGGCATGTCCATAGATCTGCTGTGACTGTCAAACAGAGAATGTTGTTACTACTTATTTGCACCACTGATCTAAGTACTCTGTAACTTTCCAGACAGTGAAAGAATATTCAACCTTAGTCATTCACAGAGCAGACGCACTGAAACCAATAGATTTACATAACCCAAGTCTATTGATTTCAATGGTACCTCCAGAAGTATAACTTAGTTGGATTTAACCACCCATCTGGTTTTTATTTTACAGCTCATTGTGTCAACTTCTGCACACCTTAAACTGCAAATGATCTTGAAAAACACACATACACACATATCAATTAAGCAAAGTGTGTGGCTTTGTGCTTTTTTACATCACTGTTCTTAATTAGTGCTCTAAGATTATTGAGCAAACCCCTGGCCTCTGTCTCCCCAGTTCATGACATTGTTATTCAAAGAATGAGGTTTTTAAGAATCTAATTTGGGAGCACTTTAACACACACCTTCTTTTGTATGAGACAGTGAAGTTTCATGATTTCATGCTGCTGCTGCTGCTTCTTTTGAAAATCTTTGGGAGTGAATCATTCAGGCTAAAACCACATTTATAGATGTACTTTGTATTTTAATGACTCACGTCTTGAGGAATTTATACTTAAAACTACTCCAGCAGATTGTATGCATTGTAGGGAGATTATGAGAAGTAACTAACTATGTGAATTAGGAACCCTAGAATGAAGCAGAATGCTAAGTAGTTGTGCATTATGTCCCTGGTGGTCCTTAGGGATAGCCAACAAACATGCTACTCTTGTCTGCATGGCAGGACACTTGGCTGAAGAACACTGTGGAGTTGTGTCTTAACATCTTATCTGTGTGTGAGATAATTTGTCCTTCATATCTCAGACTTGAGAGTCAGACCCATGGCCCTGTAAATTTCAGCTCATTTCGGAAAGGATAGGACTCCATTAAAAGCAAAGAGTGAAGTAATGTGTGACAGGAAGCAATTGTCTTTGGCATTTCTTTCATTGATAGCCATATATTCCATGATCAAAATAGCAAAGGATACTATCAGGAAAGATTATCCTCTGTGTATCCTCTATGCATAGCAAGGCAAAAGGATTTGCCTATGGTCACTCAGCAAAGCTATGCACAACTGAGTGTAGATATAAGCCCGTTGATGTTCTGTTACATGAAAGATTTCAGGTTACGTGAAGGATTGCCTGTTACTGCATAGACCAGTAAGATCACTTGGATCATCTGAGGAAATTTTACTTGGGGCTCTGACCCTATCTAATATCACAGGGTGGTGACCCCAAAACAGGCTTTTTCTGTCATTGACTTTGCCCTTCCGTCCGTCATACACAAAGCATCATCTGTTAGCAACTTCAGACTTTCTGTGATGACATACCTTTTTACCCAAACGTTCCCTGACCCACAAGATTTGGACTGTCATTTCTGAATTCCTGTTTTCATCTATTTTTATTTAATAGGGTTTTATGGGTTTTTAATGTTTTTTGTCTCTGTTTTTATTGTACTGTTTTGTTGGTTTAATGCTATTTTGTATAACACTTAGAGGGTTTTTTCGGTTTATATTAGGCAATTTAAAGACACTTATAAACAAATAATTGTACCCCAAACAATTCTCCTGGGATTAAATAGGTCGCCTGTTTATTCACAACTGGGTTTGATAGAACAGTGTGCTCCTTGTAACTCATATCTTTTGCATCAAGACTATCCTTTGTAAGCAACTTCTGTTATAGTTAAGACTTCAGTTGGTTGGTTAAGTGTTACGGGAAAGTGGCTTAGCCAGTTTTTAGAAATGTGACAATTTTTATTCAAGAGATAAATAACAGTTACTTAGATGAAGGCCCCTTGGATGTTCTGGGCTGCTATTTCTCTCATCCTTGACCACTGGTTGTGCTGGCTTGGACTGATCGGTGTTGAAGTTCAACAGCGAACTTCTGGAAAGACACTTTGCATATGACTTTTTCACGTTTGAGAGATTGGGTGAAAAAATTATTTGCTCTTGATGTACGTGCTGAGGAGAAGATATTTACCATGACCCAGCACATTTGTTGGGTGTTAAAATCCCACTTGACCATTCACATTTTTTCCAGCAAATAGATTGATTTCCAAGTTGGAAAATAATATATGAATTGCCTTTCATAAACTTGGGATACTTGGTTTGCTCTGAAAAGCTCGTACCAGCAACCTTAGTCTTTGAAAACAGGAGCGCGTAGTTGCAGCACAGATTGAATCAAACATCAGATGTTCTCAGCTTTGGTTTTGGGTATCAAGGAGAACTCTGAAAGACATGGCTCACACTTTCTTTCTTTTTGATCACATATGCATCTGAGGCAGAATTTTGTCTTTTTAAAATAAAAAGCAGTCTAATGTGGCTTTATTTGAGAGCTGCAGAGTGTGAAAGTGAAGTATTCATTTCCCCATTCCACACTCCTTTAGTTTGTCTACCAAAATTTGCCCCTTCCCCACAAGCTGTTTTCTGATCTTATGGGATATGCTAAGGATCATTCCTTTGAGTTGCTCATCTCCTTGTGACCGACTCCTCATTTCTTTTCCAATATGAGTGGGAAAGGAACTTGGGGTTGAAGCACAAATGGCAGGGAGGGAAGGGTTAAAGCAGTCCCACCCTCATTATTCATCAGCTTCCAACCACAGCTTTCCCAAGGCTGCTTTTCAGTTTTAGGAAAAGCACTGGGAAAAGAGACACAGAACTCCGTGTTGTGGAGAAGAAGGATATCAGCGCTTCCAGATGAGAGCTTAATATTTTAAACAGCCATTGAGATATAATTGAAACTCCCGCCGCAAAGAAAAAAAAACTCCACAAGTTTTTTGTTTTTAAAAGAATTTATTGGATTGTCCACAGGGAAGAGTAAATCTGGATTAAATGAGGAAAAGTACTTGCTGGCATTTTGATGTCAACAATGTTGCATGGATGCCACAAAAATTAAAATGAAATAAAATAAAATAATTGCACATGTGAAGAGCATGCCCACAATAAATACCCACCTGGAAGCACCCTGCATGTTTAAAGGGGCATTTCAGGATACCAATACAGCAACAACTGGAATTTGTGTTTATTATGTTAGGTCTACTTTTTATGTAAGAATGACGGCTTAGTGGGATCAGCTAGGCGGATGGTATCTAGCAAAAACAGAAAACACAGTACAGTATCTTAAATCCATCAACTGTGTTATTTACACATTTATTTTGAGCAGTAACCCAAAATACTTTATTTCTATAATTTACATTAAATTGAATAAAATTATTGCATGTTTTCTAAAAGAATCAATATTTCTATTTTGACACAATGATAGTCCTATGCAGCGTAGGCTCGTTGAAATTAATGAACACAGCTAACTTGGGTCCATTAATTTCAGTAGATCTACTCTGAGTAAACCTTTAGTGAAAATATGTCATCTGCTTTCTAACATAATCTCCTTTAGTAGTTGTAGATGAACCCCACAGACTTTCTGTTCCTGAGAAACAAAATGGTTTCATGCATTGGTCTTCTATTCGATGTTGTCCAGAAAATACCAACACCCCAAAAGAATTCTTTTTTAGGCTGGATAAGGGATACACACCCTTTTCAAATTAATTGTACATTGCAAACTTATGATTTATGGCAGGATAGTATTAGCTGGATGTAAAGTTCATAAAGTGGTTGTGTAACTAACATCTGAGCAACAGTAAGTTGCTAAAATTGGATGGCAATCTCTCTAGAGTGCTGATGGAACACAGATAAGAAATTGCAGAGAAATAGCTGTTGCTGGCAGCCTGCCTGCCTGAAGGGCTGCTAACATAAAGTGCAAAAGAAGTGGAATCCAAAATTAAGCCTAAATTGAGCATCTATCATAGAAGTAAAAATTATAATTAGGAACAGAATTATTACATTGGAGTAGACATAGGTGACCGGCGTCGTTGCAGAAAAGGAAATAACACAGTTTTTTCTCAATGGATAGATTCATAAGGGTAATAAAGTCCATTAATTTTCAGAAAGCTGTCACAAACTCAGTTTTTATAGACATTTTAATAGTCCCTGGATAATGGGAAACATTCGTGTGTGTCATGATGATTGGTTTTAGATTAACTGTTATCATGGTAGATATCTTGTTGAACAATGTAGATAATGTTGAACAAGACAGATAAATGGAAATTCTGTAAATGGAAAGCATGGTAGCAGGATAACATCTTTGGTGAGCAACGGCAGTTTGCATCAATGTACAAGGAGAGAGGGAAGGAGGATTTTGCCTTGGTCATTCATCAGTCAATAAACGTGAGCTTCCAATGATGTAAATGGCTATTA